CCACAGGGTGCCAAAGCCCTCCACACCGGGATGAGGAAAGACACCCATTTGCTGACAGAGACACAGGTAAGCACCCAAAGAAAAGAGCAAAGGTACCAGGTGCAGCCTACGGGGACCAGGTGACCCATTCGCCGGATTATCACACGCGTCCACCCCTGCACAAGCCCAGCGCTCGCGGCCAGTGTGGTTCCATCCTCGGTTCTGCAGTGGACCTCGGTCCCCGCCATCCCCCGCAGCGGCAGGGCGCGGGTGCTACTCCGGCACGCGTGCATTTGCAGGGCTCGGGCGGAAATTTGGAAAACGCCTACTGCTCGCCCTTCTGAGTCTATTAAATGCTGAAAAGCGACTCACCCGGGAAGGCCTCCTCACTGACACCAAGCGGGACCAGAGCCGTCCACCCAGCGATGCGGCCACTGCCCCGATTAGATCACGCCTTTCTGAATTTGTCAGCGCCACCAAAGAGATGCCACCAAGCGAAACAGAGATCACCGTGTGCGTTATCTGCGTGCTCGAGACCGGAAGGCCCCCAGAAGATGTGGGCTCGCAGTGGCAACGCAACAGAATGCGCGTCTCCCGACAGCCAGCGCAGGTGGCGCCAGCTGTGACAACTCCCAGGAGGAGGAGGAGGAGGAGGAGGACTGGCTGGATTTAATACAATCTGACACGACTGTCTGAGCAACAAGGTTCTCCATGGCCTGGGCTGAGGCGGCCCCAGGTCACACGTGTGCGCACACGGTCCGTGCTGCGGGAGGACGCATGCCCCGCCCCCGCGTCCCCCTGCTGTGGGGCTTTGACGCTGCTGACCGCTGACCACATCTGAGCGCCCGTAATTGACTCTGAGGACACACGCCCGCGGCCCGGCCACAGGAGCGCGTGACTCAGGCGCCGCCCGGACCGCGTTGAGGAGGAACTTTCCGAACACTGGCTGCGAGAAGCCACCCTCAGTCTGTCTTCTCGACCTGAAATAACAACCGGGAAGTGAGAACCGCCAGCCCGTATGTACCTTTGTGACTCTTAGGTAACGTGACAGATTTCTCTTCCAGGGAGGGACTCATAAGCATCGCGACAGGAATGGCTGAGGCACGAGTCTCAAACCCGACCGCCCACAGGGGAGGGGCAGCAACGCGCGCAGGCAGACGCTGGAATGTTCTAGAAGGAAAGGGAGCAGGGCAAACGGCAGGACCCGGGCCCCGTGCAGAGGTCGGCTGAGGACAGGAACCAGCGCTGCTCTACGTCTTTGGGAGCCGAGACTCTGGGTTTCTGTCTGAAACATCCCGGTTTTGATTCGTTGGCCACGAATTCAAATAAAACACCCACCAGGTACTCCCTCCCCAAACACACAGGCCTACGGGTTGGATTTGGCCTAAAAGTGGGGCACGTTGGG